CCGCTGCTATTACCACTGATGAACCTGCACTGGGGGGAACAAGTAGGGTGAGCAGATGTCCCGATTTTATAGGGACAGTCCTGATATTTGGGGATTTTTCTTATATAGGCTCCTATTATCCTCCCACCCCCACCCCATCCCGATTTTTCACACTGGCTGTCTGGTCACCCTAGGAACAAGAGTAGGAAATTTGGAGCAAAGGAGAGCCTAGTGCGGACGCCACCCAGAAAGGTCGGGCAGAGCTCTGTATGGCCATTAGATGGCAGTGTAGCTTAAAAAATGATGGTGCATGGCCAAGGAGGGATTTGAAAGTTTCTGGTGTCCCAGTTTCCTGCCCCACCTGAGCAAGCTCAGAAAACATCTCCCCATCCTGCCTATCGCAGAGCTGCTCCGGGGAGCTGCTGGGAGAAACTTCCCAAACTGGAGACCACAGTTTTGAAGCAGCTCTCTCATCTTTTAAATCCAGGCGTGTCTCCGATATTTTACATATCACTTTAACCACAGGAACAAGAGCTTACTGGCTGAGTAGGAAGTGTTAGCTAGTGGTTAGTACAACAGACTGGGATGCAGGATGCCTGGCTTCTATGCCCATCTCTGGTCACCACTGGGTGACCTTGGGCAAGTCACGTTCACCGCTCTGTGCCTCAGTTTCCCCACCTAAGTCATTCTAATACGTGGTGTCTAAGGATTCCAAAGCTCTTCACCTGACACAGTTATAACAGAAATGCAGCAGCTGCCACTGGAGAGGAGGAGGGCAACAATGAGCCATGGAGCACATTGCTCAACACTGGAGTTGGGACATGTTTAGCCAAGGGCCCCTCTTGATTCAGTTCCTGGAGCTGAAGGCCTGACTACAGCTGCCTGTCACAGGAGTGAGGATGGGGAATACCTGGAGGCACCAAAAAGGAGCAGTCCCCTGTTCCCAGAAACCAATTTTTCTACCTAGCAATCGAGTGCTGCTCCCCACCCCCACTGCAAACCTTCTCCTCTAGCCAGCAGTGGTGGGAATGAAGGGCTCTCTGCACTGCCTCTCAGGAACGCTGATCCATGAGAACACGCCTGTCTGATTTCCATCGCTCCCATAGTCCCCGTCTGTGAGTTGGGAGCCCGTTTGGAAGGGGCTGGAGTTTCCACTGCAATTCTGCTGTGGGGGGGAATTAAATATGGGTGACATGTCAGCTAAGATCTAGGTGTAAAGCAGGGTTGCGTGCGGGGGTCAGGATCTCTTTCCCTTCACCACTGGTACTTCCATGCCCTGGTTGACATTCAGTCGGTAGGAACAATGGAGGTGTTAGCATAGAGCGCTCCCATCAGCTCATGGTACACTCATCAGCACAGCAGGTGCTTTCCCCCTGCACCACCCATTGGCACAGCCTAGCTGCATAAAGCCGCCTGTTTCAGGGCTAGGTTATTCCATAACTGTCCAGCGTGGAATTTCCTGCACCTTCCTCTCAAGCAGCAGGTGCTGGCCACTGTCAGAGACAGGCCACTGGGCTAGATGGGCCACTGGTCAGATCTAGCAAGGCTGTTCCTACGGACATATGAGGAAGATTCGGTGTCACAGCCTATCCCTGAATGGACCCAGCTTGCTTGTCAGCCATGTGGTTATTAAGGAACAGAGTAACTTGGCAAGATTTGTCTTTTCCATTGGGGGGTGGGAGGGTGAGGGATTGGCTGGGGCAACCACCAGACAGGCTGCAGCCTATAAAAGTAATGTTTCTTTAGGTTAACTAGAAATGTGCTGAAATGTAAGTAGAGAATGGGGGAGGAGTGGGGGTTGCCTTAAATTTAGGCTGGACAATAGCGAGAGCTAGGATATTGTGGGTGAAGGGAAGTGAGATAGTTAAGATGCAAGTTAGAGATAAGTTAAGACATCTCCCAGAGCATGTTGTAAATGTGCTTGGTTCTAATTGCTTTTAATAAGAGTTTTCAACAAAATGAGAACGTTGACGAATGCTCTATATTGATAGTTACTGGAATGGCATTTATGCCGATGTTAACTAAGGTGAGGTTTAATATTAAATAGCCAACTAGGGAGTAAAAGGTATTTTAATTGGGGTAACAGAAATATAGATACGGTAAAAGGCAGGCTTAATGCTAATTAATTACGGGGTTCTATTATAAGGGATTATAACCAAGGTCATACACTAATTATAGATTAGCACGCTCATCCGCCATCGAGGTACCGCTAGAGAACGGGTTCTATTCTCGTTCTTCCATCCAGGGAGTGATCCCCCGGGTGCACCGTCCGCCTTGGAAGGGGAGTGTAGAATGCAGCATGTGGTTAGATTGCACTGCCTGCTTGCTTTAACGAATTCTCTTATTTTAAATAAAGTCTTTTGGCCGATCGTTCATTGTGTCATTCACAGTCCGCCACTAAATGAAACTGATCAGTAGCTGCCCCAGAGGCTGGAACCTGAAGCATTTAAATGGGTTCTTGGTATTATTAATTCATATTTTAAATATAAACGACAATGTTTCAATCAAAGGTTATAGCTCCCTTGCCACTTGCCTCCTACAGGCCTGGGGAGACACTCCCCTCCATCCCCCACCCCGGGGAAACAGCTTCCCAGGACAAGGGGGACCTGCTCCTCCCCTCATTACACCAGTGTAAATCAGGAGCAACCCCAGTGAATGCAGCGGAGTTTCACCAGTGTACAATCAGTGGCAGACGAGGCCCAAAGGGCAGAAACCGCCCGGAGATAGCCCTCCGTACCCACCCATAACCCCCTGGCACCGGCAGTGCTGTGTTCAGAGCCTTCGGCAGCCCTGGCTTTTGGTTGCTCTGAGGCAGCTCATAGGGGCGCAAAGTGGGCCTGGTAAAGCTCATCGGAGTCACCCGAACCACCTGGAAACAGCCCGTTTGACAAACCAAAAGGGGTTTTTTGGTAGGGCGGAGGGGAGGAACGGGACCTAAAAGTCCTGCGTGGTGACGCAGCCACCTGACCTAATTATTTGCACCCCGGCTCGAAAGCACGAGCAGCACAAAGGGGTGATTTCCCAGGCCGCCAACCGGCCCTTATTATCCCTGCTTCACAGAGGCTGACAGGCTGGGAGAGAGCGGGCGCGGGGTGAGGAGCACCGGCTGCTCAGCCGGGGAAGCCAAGATGGCATCTCCGTAAAGCCAACGGCTGCTTGCAGCGTGCTTGGCCTTTTCCAGTCCCTCCTCGCTCGCTCTCGCCCAAACAATGCTGCAGCCGAACAAAGCAGGAGGGAGCCGGAGGCCCAAGGGGAAGTGCCAGGCGAGGGGCTCTCACCAACGCTATCTCGCCGCCACAGGAAAACAAAGGACTGACTGTGTTGCCGAGCAGGGGCTTTATCGAGCTGGAGTTGTTTTCGTTTGAAGGCGAGGAGGGGTGGGGGGCAGGGCAGGGAGATGCCTAGGCAGGAATGGCTGCTTCCATCTCTGGCCCCAGAGATTGACACAGTGTGGGGGAAAGGAAAAGGTTTCAGGGAAAGGTGGAAGGTGATGAGATGGTTAATCCAGGATTCAGAGAGTCCAAGGCCAGAAGGGACCATTGTGATTGTCTAGTCTGGCCTCCTGGATAACACAGAACTTCCCCCACAATAATTTCTGGAGCAGATCTGTTAGAGAAACATCCCATCTTGATTTTTAAATGGCCAGTGGTGGAGAATCCACCATGACCCTTGGTAAGTTGTTCCAATGGTTAATTACTCTGACTGTTAAAAATGTACACCTTATTTCCAGTCTGAATGTATCTAGCTTCAACTTCCAGCTATTGGTCCATGTTAGACCTTTCTCTGCTAGACTGAAGAGCCTATTATTAAATATTTGTGCCCCATGTAGGTACCTATAGACTTTGATCAAGTCACCCCTTAACCTTCTCTTAAGCTAAATAGATTGAGCTCCTTGACACATGTTTTCTAATCCTTTAAGAACATAAGAACGGCCATATTGGGTCAGACCAAAGACCCATCTAGCCCAGTCTCCTGTCTACTGACAATGGCCAATGCCAGGTGCCCCAGAGGGAATGAACAGAACAGGTAATCACCAAGTGATCCATCTCCTGTTGCCCATTTCCAGCTTCTGGCAAACAGAGGATAGGGACACCATCCCTGCCAGCCTGGCTAATCCTTGGGGTGCTTCTCTGAACCCTGTCCAATTTTTCAACATCTTTCTTGAATTTGGACACCAGAACTGGACACAATATTCCAGTGCCAAAGACAGAGGTAAAATAACCTCTCTGCTCCTGCTCTGTGTCCCCTGTTTATGCACCCAGGACTGTGTTAGCCTTTTTGGCCGCAGCATCACACCGGGAGCTCACATTCAGCTGTTGGACAGAGGTCTCCTCTCATAAGGGTTAACCCTCCTGGATGGCGCTCTTGATTCAAAATCATTCATTATTATTTGTATTGCAATAGCACCTCAACTGAGATCAGGGGCCCATTACGCTAGGTGCTGTACGTACACACAGCTGAAGATCTCACCGGCTAAATAAACAAGACAGACAAAGGAGGAAGGGGAAGCAGAGATGGGAAGTGACTTAACCAAGGACACCCAGCAGGCCAGTGGCAGAGCCAGGAACACAGCCCAGGTTTCCTCAGCCCCAGTCCAGTGCTGTATCACTAGACCATACTGCCTCTGAGAAAGGTGCCTTGACACCACCTGATGGGTGTTTGCTGTGAAATTAGTTTGGTGGGTCTCTGTTTCCCCCATGGACAAGGGGCTACATCACATGAAAGAGAAAGGCTAAGGGTTGAATGAGCCCGGGAGACTGAGCTGTCCCTCGCTGTATCAATAATTCTTTACATTACGAGACTTGGCCCCTGATTCTCTACTGCTGCAGGTCTGGTTATTGACACCTGTGCAAAGCCAATGCGAAGTGGGTGTAAAATAGCCTGGGTATTTGTATTCCTATAGCCCCAGGAGCTCCAGTCATGGGCTAGGATCCCACTGTGCTAGGAGCTGTACAAACGCAGCCTTTTAACCCCCATCTTGCTCAGGTGAAGATAGCTGCACAAGGTGCAAGAGGTGGAGAATTAGGCCCTTCAACTCTGTAGGTATCAGCTGTTGAGCGACAGTGGAGCCTTTCAGGCTGGAGGGAAATCCAGGCAAAGGGAAGGTTGCCCTATTGGCAGGGTTGATATGCAGGCCGTATTTACCAAGCCAAAAGCTTTGAAGTGATTTGTTTGTAGAGCAGTCCAATGGTCCTGTACAGCTCAGCTCTGACATGCAGGTCCCTCACCTACACAAAACCCCGCCTATAATATTCAGCACAGACCCAATGAACGCGGTGTGACCAACCTTGCCTGCTTTCAGCAGATAGCATACAGCGGAGTCCATGTCGCAATCAGAGACAGGGAGAAATATGGGTATGTAGCTTGGATAACTTGTGATGCTTTTTCTTCTCTGTCTACTGCACCTTTAAATTTCTAAGAACTCTTCCTTAGTTCAGAGCTCGTCACCCATTTTGTCCTCAGAATGGCCAGAGCATATTCCAAAAGAGACACACACCACCGTGCCCTTTCCTGGAGACTTTACTTTTGTTCCTTCCTGTTGTTTTCCTTAATCTGAAGGTTTCACTGCCTGGAAGCAGATGCTTTGCTCAATGTACAGAAGAAGCCACAAGAAACTGGCTTCCTCACCTCTGTTATATCAAATCCGTAACTTTCTGAAAACAACCTCCACACCAGACCTCACTCAAGGTGTGGTAAAGTTGGGCCCCAAAAACTCTGGTCTAGACAGGACCTAAAGGACAATCCCTGTTCCAAAGAATTTGCGATCTCAGTAGCCAAAAGAAGATTATCCCCAGTTTACAGTGGGCAAAGTGACGCCCTCAGTGACTGAGCGATTCTCAAGGTCTGTATGCAGTCAGGAATCTATATTCCCTGCCCAGATCTCCTGCATCCTTGTTTAGTGCCTTAACCACAAGATTGTCTTTTCTCTGCCCAAGCGATGCACCTTTGAATACCCTAGCTAGCTCTACAAGGCACATATACCTTTCTCCCCATCTATAAGGTATGCCCAATCCTGTCCTTCACCAAAGGACCATTCGCTGACAGGGCTCTGTAGCTTTAAGATGCTGCCAGAACACGTAACACGTTGATCTTCCCAGCCTCCACTGACCTTCTGAAGTCAACTTAGCGGAGAGTAATTAGTGTGGTTATCAAGGGAAGAGGTGGATTAATGTGGGAAAGTCATTGATGAAGGCAGAGGAGGGCAGATGCTTTCCTGGAGTCCCCAATCAATACAGACCTTGGAGGATGAATGAGAGCTTCAAAGAAAAGCATCAGTGAACAATTGAATGCTGCTAGCTCCCGGCTGGCCGCGCTGCCTGAAGCGATGAGTGAAAGATGGCACGGTGCACGCTGCACACTCTAGCCATGTAACCCTTATTTGTGTCTTTGAAATGAGCCACTGCCCACTGGATGGACCCACGTGACGGAGGAGAGAGGAGGAGGGATTCATAGACGGCCAGGGAGGCAATGTTGCACAAAAGATGCTCGTTGTTGTTCATCTGAGTTTAATGCTCGGAGAGACAGCATGACATGAGCCCGGTGGAGGCCAAGCGAGCTCCCCACCCTTTCCTCGAAGGTTTGCAGGCCTGCAGCGCCCACCCGGAGCCCCGATCCGATCCCCAGGAACGGCTCTTGGTCTCCGCCTTCCCTCCCACAGAGGGTGCATTCTCACGGTGACCAAAGCTGGCATATGTACAACGGGTGGGGCTGTCTGTGATATCCGCATGCGTTGCATGATGGGATAGCAATGGCCCCACACTCACGCCTGCTTAGGCCATGGGACGGGCAAGGGGGGCAGCTTCCCGAGATAAAAGGGACTTAGCACCGTGGCGCAGCGTCTGTGCTGTTAGTCCGGGTGACATGAGGGGCGACACGCGCTCTTTTTGGGAGTTCGGTTAGGAACTGTCACAGCAGGAATGTGCTGCTCGCTCTGCCAATGGCCCAGGCTATCTGCAGTGTAAATGGGACCACCCACCTCCAACCATTGCGTCATAACCTGTTTAGCTAGTCCTGCTCCGTTCCACTTCTGTGCAGCGGGACATCCCACAGGGCCGTGTCCCAAAGGTTGCTGGAGTTGCTCTGTAGGCATGCCCAATGGCAGCTCTGTCCCCTTCCTGAGGCACTATGGGATAGCCAGATTTCCCCTGGATGCACTTGCGCTGATACAGGCCAGTGGCCTGGAAAGTGTGGGGGGCGCACGCATGGCTGTGCTGCAGAAGTTCTCACATGGACACAGCTCCACAGCGTTGTAGCAAACGGGATGCAGAGGCCCAGCTGTGCTGCTGACCTCTAGCACTGGTGGCCTCTGTCCCAAGGCTGACTCGCCTTGGGTAACGAGGTGCCCTAGTTTACAGGGAAGAAGGGAGGAGACATCCTAGCTATGCCCCCATTTTCCTCTAAGCTTCCCATCTCCCAGCCCCACCCAGGCACTGCACATCCCCCTCCTTACTCAGCAGCCGTATGGAGGATTCAACAAGGGAGAACAAACTGGAGCATGTTCCGGAGCTACTGTCCCAGCTCCCAGCCGCAGCAGCCAACACCCACTCGGTCATCCCTCCTCTGGAATGCACATTTGAATTCCTCACCGGCTTATTGCTTGTTGCTGGCATGTTTGGTTTCTGATTGTTTGGAACGATTGCACTTTTCCCACACTTTGGGAAACAGCTAGGAATCACCGCGTGGCACTCTGCCGGCTCCACATCCCCCCCGGCACAACCTACTGGAGCGAACACAGGCAGGGCAGCAATCCAGAGGATGGGGCCAGAGCAGGCGGGTGTTGCATGATTCGCTCCTCAGTCATTCAGTGCTGACCTGGCCCATCTTTTCGGCAAGTCCACCGATGCCATGAGTGAGTGCAATTGTAAATATGACTTCACTGCAATCTGTCAGATGCTTCTAGGCAACCAAGATAACAAGCGGAGCCCGGCCTGTGTTTGAACATCTGGAACTTGAGGAGCAATTGTCACCTTCTGAACATTTCTGATCACTTCTGCATTGACGTCTATTGAAAATGCCAGACACATCCCTTGAACAATTTCATCAGCCAACTTTACCTTTCACCACCGATGCTGCGTGTTTATCTTCTGCACGTCACTCAGCTGGGACTGGGACACCCAGCTGGTTAATTCCATATCTGCATCGGGCTGGTTTCACATCGCTGGTTCTTATGCGCTGGCCCAGTACCGTTGCGTTTGGGCTCACAACACTGCAGAGAGGATGCTGAGGATGTTTAAGGAACAGGGTTAACCAAAAAACAACGCTCACTGAAATTATAAATAAAAAGTAGGTTAGGGTGTGTAAACCTCGGATATGTAAGTTTGGATCCATCTGTCTGTCTAGAGCAGCCCTATTACCTTAGCATCTGAGCTCTCACAATCTTCCATGTTATCCTCACTCACCCCCCTGTGGCATGGCAGCACTGTTATCCCCATTGTACAGATGGGGAACTGAGGCACAGAGCTGCTCAATGGCTCGACCAAGGTCACGCAGGGAGTCTGTGGCAGAGCCAGAGCAGGTCTACTCCCAGGCTAATATGAGACTTGCCCCCACATACCACCCAGCAATGAATGAAGCTGTTCAATGATCCTGTGAGGCAGTTACGTATTATCACTGATTTACATCTGGGAGTGCTAAGGGGCAGGGATACACTTACATTCTACAGCTCCACCAGTCACCACTGACTTCACTGGACTGTCTGCAGCATAAGGTGCTACTCGTCTCAGCTTGAGTTATGGGTACAAGAAACTTACCCAAGGTCACCTAGGGAGCCAGGAATGACCCTAGAGCCCCCTTGCTTTAACCCCAGACTTGGGTCCCTTTTCAAACTTGAATACACTCACCTGTTATTTGCAAACAATTCACCCCTGAGTACTAGGCAAACAAAGGAGCGTCACCATAGATCATACATAACATAACACCGAGCCCTTGACTGTAAAGTGCTGTGCTGATTTGCTTGTGTTTGAATTATTTTATTACAAAGACTTTTAAATCACTCGTTTTATTTGAGTTGCATTAAAGCTAACAGGAAAAAAAATCAGCATGGCCTGTGTTCCTGCCAGGTTTTCGGTCCCTATCTCTCTCTTTCTCATAGGAACCCCCCATAAAACTGATGAGAACAAAACACCCACAGCATCGCCTTCTGTTCTCCTCATATCAGAAACCAAACATAGTGGAAGGTGAATGTAAACAGTTTCTCGAGCCTGAGCAAATTGCCAGCTGTCAAATTAGCACACTCAGTTAAGCTTTTGCCTTAATTACATTGTTTGAAGTTCTAAAGCGGCTACAATCCAGCCCCACTACCCTGGACTCAACAGTGACTCAACAGCCAAATCACCCTGGTATATCTAGTCTAAGTAGGGGTTGAACTGACGGGTAACTTTTGGGAATAATAATCCGCTCTACTAACTGCAGAACCCTGCTATGCTTTCGTCAACCACAGGTTACTAGGCTCATTCCTGGGTGGGATTCTCTGCCTTGTGTTATACAGGGGGTCAGACTAGGTTCATGCTGGCCTTAAAGCCTATGACTGTGGGTAACATGGGATGGCATGGGGGTTTGAGTCATTGCGATGCTAAATGGCACCAGCACCGGACATCAGCATAGCTCCAGCCAAATCAACGGAGTCCATTTTCACCAGCTGAGGATCTGGCCCAGGGGTGTGTAATGGCTGTACTTGGCATAACCCGGGCTAGAGGTGGAAGGCTGGAGATGGAAAGTGAACCAGTTCCTATCTTAGCAAAGAGCCAGAGTACTTTAGAACACCTGTATTGTCATGTGTCTCCCATCAACTCTAGCATCTGTGTTCAGGGACTCAGGCAAGGCAGAGAGGAAGGACGGCCTTGGGCTAGGACTCAGTGGTGTTGGGCTTAATTCCCAGCCCTGCCACAGACTTTCTGTGTGTTCCTGGGCACGTTACTCCATCTCTCTGTGCACCAGACTCCCCTATATAACATGACGATGCTTCTCTACCTTGCAGGGGTATTAGCAGGCTGAACACATGGGAGATGTTCAGAACACGAGGATGAGGGCCACAGATACAGCAGGTCATCTAGACCTCACTGCGGTCAATAGAAAGACTTCAGTGGGCTCAGGGGTAGGCCCTGAGGGCTGGACAGTAATTTTCTCTGCAGGGTTTGGTTCAGTCTATTTTTACAGGCCCTAAGCAATGAGGCTTCCACCATTTCTCCTGGGAGATTGTTCACTCTCTCTAGCATATCTCCCAGTCAACCTTTTTTTTCAATATCATCCTATTATTCTTGACCCCCACCCCTAAATAATTCCTCTACTGCTTTGGCATCTAAAGCCATTTCTGAAATCCTCAGTCAATCCGTTTCTCCTCTGTAATCAGCCACCGAGTTGAGAGACTTTCTGCTGCAACATCTCTCCAGAATGCTCCCATTCACAACAACAGTTACCACGGCTAATAATAATCCACTAAGTGACCAGTGTGCTTGGTGCTGTACAGATCAGACATTCCACCCAGTAGGGGGTAGTGGTGTGCACACACACACACACACACACACACACACACACACACACACTCCATTACACTTGCAGCCCAATCAAACCTGCATTGCATAGATACGGTGCTGTGAAGAGAGACTCTCTCTGCTCTCCCGTCCCTTGCTCAGTTTTGCTGTAACTTTGTGGCTTTCCCTTTTGGAATGGTAACTGCCCTCTGAAAATGATGGAGTTTTATTAATTTTGTAGAGTTTTCCACTAACACCCACACCGCGGGGCCTGTATCTTGCTCAGCTCTGCCAATGGCTTATCGCCCCTCTCGATTGTTGTTGGCACTTCATATATCTTGCTGGGGTTTGTGGGAAATGTGTTATTTTTACACGACCGGGCCTCTTGTCTCTTGGCCAGAGGTTTGCTTCCCTCCAAGCTCCAGGGGATTCTGATGCCCAAGGAGCCAGCGCTCAAGATCGCTGCAGAACGGAGGAAAGAAAGGCCACGGAGTGAGGTGGATCATTCCAGCAATCTCGGCTGGCTCCTAGGATCTTGTCCTCTCCAACTAAGTAGATCCTGTTCCACCATCGCCAAGGGCACCGTACCATCCAACCATGTGTTCGCACTGTCTAATGACGCTGGAGGAAATGATCTAGCCATGCCCAGGGGCGTCTGTAGCTTTTTTGCTGCCCCAAGCACGGCAGGCAGGCTGCCTTCGGCTTCCCCGGTCCCGCAGCTTTGGCGTACCTTCCGCCGAATTGCCGCCGAATCCGCGGACCTCTCGCAGGCAAGCCGCCGAAGGCAGCCTGCCTGCCACGCTAGCAGGGACCGACAGGGCGCCCCCCGTGGCTTGCCGCCCCAGGCACGCACTTGGAGCGCTGGTGCCTTGAGCCGCCGCTGGCCATGCCAGCCAATCAGCATTACCCTGCTCTGTGATGTCATTCCCAGGCATGCCTGCTGTCAGAGTGGATACGATGAGGGCGCCAGCGGGCAATTCCCACGCTGTGACAGAGGAAAGATGTTCCGTATGTGGCAAAACCCTGAGCTAGAGGTAGGCATCTGCACCCAGCGGGACGGCAGAAGAGGGTGATACTGGATCCAAACGGTTTTGTCCAGCGCTGCTTGCTCATGGTTCGAGACAGGGCTCTGGAAGTCCTAATCTGCACAGAAGATCGGAGTGTGGAATATGTCTTAGAAAAGCCAGAAATAACCCATGCTTTAGAATGCCAGCCGTTTTATCCCTGAGGGGGAGAACCAGGCTGCTGGGTCGTACAGGATAAGATAAAGCAGATAAATAAACCATGGCAGAGCCTGCTGTAAGAAGGCTGTTAGCACTCAGCAGAAAGCTCGCTAACCCTGCAGCACCATGACCTGGGCTAGCAGCAGCCACACTGGTCACTGTTGACAATTCTTATCAGGTTTTCTCAGTAGCAGAGTTGTCTCATTTTTAAGACAATGAAGGTCAGGGGTGCAGAGGGATGTTTGATTTCTTGCCATCAAAACAGTCCCTTTTTTTTTTTCCTTCCTGTCTGTCAAATTCCAGGTCTAGATACACAGTAAAACCGGTGAGAAAATGTTACCTTGAAGCACTCAGGGGACAGGAGACAGATCCTGCAGGGCCTACAGTGTTATCCATGGCAAAGCCTTTGCGAAATGCGCGCATGGTTTATGAAGGTCCACCAGTGCATTTGGTGATGCGCACACAGGTCAGGGCGTGCTTGCAGTCTTGCATGCGGAGTAACAGGCTCAGTCTATGTGAACATGTGTCTCACTGCCATGTGCAAGGTATACGTGTCTCTGCATTGATTGCAACACTCTGGCTATTTTGCACTGCTGCCCTCTACTGGATGGAATCAGGACTGTTCAACTGCAGATCATAGGTCCTAACCTGCTAACGGCTAGTTGAACTTCCCCTTGAGCTCAAGTGGTGAGGCCCCATGCTCTTGGAGCAAGCAGAGCCAAGCTCTCATCCCACTGCTGTGCATGAAGTTCCCAGTGGTGTCCTGCCTACTGCCAATCATGAAGTCAGGAGTGGCCACAGGTTTGTTGCAGTCGAGGTGGGAATGTGTTGCACTGCGTGTAAGCAGTAGTGCAGGATTAGCTCTGTCCTCGGAGACTCAACAGTGGAGAGTAGGAGCCAGCACCTACTCGATATAGAACCCTCTCCCTCTGAAATCAGGGCCCAGGAAGTGCCACAGGGGGAAACAGGCCCCAAAGACCAAACTCATCCCCAATGAAACGCTCCTGATCTGAATGGATTTGGCTCACAGAGACTAAGTGATTTGCTCAGGGTCGCTCAGCAAGTCAGTGGCAGAGCCATGATTAGAACCCTGGGGTGCATGGCTCCCAAGCCACATTGCCCAGGCACTTGGGAACTGCCCCATCTGCTGGAGGGAGCGAACAGCACCAGCCCTGCCACCATTCGGGAGAGGAAGCAACGGCCCCCTGCTCCCCTGTGGCAAATAGGGGGAGAGGAATTGAGTGCTGCTCAAACATTTGTTCTTTAGATACTCCTGGAGCAGACAAGTGCATCCTGGGACATCCCTGGTTTGGTGTCACATGATATGTGTCTGTATTCTCTGGATCTCTCTTACCTAGTCACCTCCTCTTCCCTGCCCACTCCCTCTCCTTCTCCCCCATCCCAGCTCCTCTCCATCAGGCCCTACCCTCCCGCAGCTCCCTTGCTGGTGTGACCAGCCTGGGCTCACGTTGGCTGCATTCAGCTGGCTGGAGAGCTCTGTAAATAACGGCAATAGCACGGGGGAAGG